CATCCTTTGATTATATACTTGATAGAGTAATGAGTCTGAGTGCGGGGTTGCAAACATCAATTCTCTTTCTCCTAAATGGAGGTCAGGAAACGAATACATTATGTGTGTTTGGTTTTAATTCCCTCTATCCCTATGATCATATAGATTTCCTCCCCATAAACTAGAATATTTACATGTTAGTTACCAGTTACTCCTACCATAGGCCACCATGAAAAGGGTGCTTGGCTATGAACCCTCCAATAACTGAAACCAGACTTAAATTTCCTTCCTAAGATTTCCTTCCTAAGATTCTAGTTTTAAGACTCGAGAGAAGCTATCATGGGATTTGATAGGAAACGACCTCTTGTTTTGCAAAAAGCGTAATTTCTAATTCATTTTCAGTACATCCCAAATAGTCAACATTTTATGTCTGTACTAGTTAAAAACTCTGGGAATTTTCTTTGTCGTGAACAGAGGCAGAATCAGCACCCAAAGCTTTGTTTAGCTATGCTGGCTACATTCACTGCTAATGACTATCAGCTATTAAAGGCAATAATCCATAACGCGTTATCTGTATTTACCATGGCAAAACTTGGGTAAATGTACATGTTACTTCCTAGAGATAAGATTTTAAAGCTGTTCTTAACTGATTCTATATGTTTGTCAGGTGTATGCTATAGCCATAATTAGCTTTCATAAACCGATAATGTAGCTAAGGGCAATTGTATTGCTGGGTAAGGAAAATCATCCATATTGTCTGGGAGAAGCAGAAAACATGTTTTAATTCTAAATTAAATGATTATTTTATAAATTAATCATTTAAGAACTGTAGAACATGAAGGTATAAATAAATGTACCAAAAATAGAGCAATGATGAATGTTTCTGTAATGTGGCGTTGTGAAGCAGCTTTACTGTAACTTGGTGCAAGGGCTGCGTCACTGTAGCTGGAGTTGGAGAGAGCTGTGAGGCTTGACACCCATTAGTGCCTAATGAAGGCACACAAGGGATTGGTGGCAGCCAGAAAATGCCAACTGTAAAGTGTTTAATCTCTTTCTTAGGTACTTGCTAGGAAGGAAGATGGTGGTGGGAGGAGGAGATGAATCTTCACTAATTGTGGGAGGAAGCGGTTCCTTCTGGAAGGGGTGCTTCCTTTTTTTTTCTTTCACCCCACACAATCTAACTGACCACAGACAGCTCTTAATTTCCCTGCACTTCTGCAGTATGATGTGATGAATATTTTGCTTATTTCCATATGGAAATATTGATATATTAATAAAGTAGTTTTAATGTCCCTTTTCGCTAGTCTTGGCATACATATACACTAGCTTGCAAAGAGGTGGGAGAATATGGCCTTGCTGCTTTAATTCTATTTCAGTTTTGGAACTATGAATTAAAAATTGGTTAATAAAATTCCCTTGCTCTGTCTTCTTTGCTTGGGTCAAATTTTGTAGAACCTGAGGCAAATTCTACACTGCTTGTTTCCACATCTGCCATGTACATTGTACTATGGATATATAGTACAAAAGCATGCAGCGTAAGACAAATAGCTCTACTTCTGTGCCATCTATAATTTCATTTTAGTTCTGTATTCCTCAGATATTCCTTTTAAATAAGAAGAATCTTAGAAATCCATTTCTTATTTCTTCTAAATTACAGAAGTCTGAAGAACAGACAGACTGGCATTTTATACTCTTCGGGCAGCATTACTTACCAACCCCAGAAATATATTTTCCTCTTCTCTCATTTTCTCTGTTTTTTTTCGCTGGATGTATCCACGCCAAATCTGAATTGTAAACAAAACTTGAATGAGATAAATGGGCCTTGTTACAGCTTCCTTTACTGTGGCAGATACAGGAAAAAAACAAATAGAGGAAGGAAAGGCACAATATACAATTGAAACTATTACTCTTTAACAGGTTGCCATCTGCTATATTTTTTTAAACAAATTCTGAAGTTTGTTATCCCCTCACAGTGGTATAGCTAGCTTCTGAACACAAGAGCATCAGGGTTCAAAAAGTATTTACAGTTAAGATTTAGAATGTTCTCAGGCTGAATTGTCTGAATTATTCATGTGTGAGGACTTTTTCTGGAATTTAGAAGTTATCTTCCTTTCCCATCTTTTCAAGATATAGAATGAACTCTAATCACAGGAAAAGGCATGAATCCCCTGAGATGCACTGGATTCCAAAGTGATGCCAGAAAGAGCAACTGAGGTAATAAAAATCAGAATGAAAAAACAGTATGTAGGCTATAAAGTCATCCTATATTGCCAGCACAGGACTGTTTCCATTGCTCTCACATCTAGGGTCCTGTCTCATTTCATTAAGTGGATTAAATGATTTATTTTACCTTGCTAGACAGCCTGAATGCTATTATTTCAGAATGTATTCCATCCTACAAGCTGTGTTTCTGTTTACTGCTGTTCTTCTGAATAAAACATTGTCATCTGGTTCTGCCAGAACTGTTAAATCAGAGATTTCACCTTTTGAATGCAAGTGGCAGCAGCATCTAGATTTGGACCCATCTGGCCTCGAAGTTTAGATTGTATTTTCTTTTGAAGGAAAATTTTCTTCATGAATGCTGCTTCACGGTGGCCTTGGCGAGCCTGTTCTGCTGTCTGGCTTGTTTTAATGGCTTCTTCAGATGTCACATCCTGAATAGGTTTCTTCAACAGCACAACCAAAAAGGAACGGACAAAGCAAAGTATTAGAGTTCTGTGTTTTGTTAACTGCTTACCTCAATTAGCAAACGAAACAACCAATGAGCTTCTGGTGGAAACCTTGTAAGACAAAAAATAATCCCTGTCATAAACAGCAGAGACTCCCGTCTCAGCGCTATCCTGCAATATCTTGGAATTTTGATATCTTGAGATGTTGTTTTTCTGAGGATCTCTAGAAGAAACTGAACCTGACATATTGATGTGTGACGAGGAAAGCCTGATGCTATAATGGAAAGCAAGAACAGCTCTGTATGGTTTATATGTCC